GCGATGTTTATGAATGAGCGATTTCGCCCAATTTGAGCCCTATTTTCGGCTAATTCCATTGTTCCAGTTGACCAAACTCATAGCTATTTCTTTAGAACTCCATTTGTTCTATCGATTGAGTGTAAGAAACTGCCCATTTACCGATTTCAACTACCCAATAACGTGGTCAGGAATTTGCGATTTGGCCAATTTCATGCAAATTAAAAAATATGCCAATTTCAAATTAGGGTATAGAATGAACAGTGCAGACATTCCTGGCTCTAAAATAACATTTTCTTTGTTTATCAGTCATATCTTCAGGCCTCTCTAATATTACTCTTGCTTTCTATTTTGAATTTTTATTCAAACAAAATATAGAAGATTTACTGTTATGCATACCACTGCAGTATTGTATTGTAATAATTGTATAAATAATGTCAACCCATTCATAACTTCATGTTAGAATGGCTAGTTGGACATTTATTGGACAATGACATCATTTGTTTACTTTTGAACATCGGCAAAAATCAAATATTTCCCCTAATTTGAGCTCCATTTCAAGGTTCTTTTCATAGTAAAACCAATCAAAATCACCTCTATTTCTATAATATGTTTTCCATTCTATCAAAAGAGACCAGGAAAACAAGGATACAACCATAAATACTATACAAAAATACACCGCAAATTCGGCATTTTAATCCAAAAACACGGTCGGAGATTTTTTTCTCATGCACTGCGTGCTGCAGGACTTTTTTTATATGGTGCACACTGACCACACAGACCCATTCTCTCACATGTGGGCCTACCAGCTTTCTCCTGCTTGATTTGAAGCCGCTAGAATTTTTAAGTAATTATACATCAAACACAGTGGCTCGTAAGACGTATATATACGACCGAAACAGTCAAAGGGTTAAGGCCAGCAAAGGTTGGTTTGAGAGATTTAAGAATCGTAGTGGCATACACAATGTGATAAGGCATGGTGAGGCTGCCACAGTTCTGACAAAAAAGCAGCTGAAAAATATGTACTGGACTTTAAGGAGTACATACATAGACACTGAAAAATGAAAACCCAACAAGTGTTCAGTTGTGATGAAACAGGCCTGTTTTGGAAGAAAATGCCAAACAGGACCTACATTACTCAGGAGGAAAAGGCACTTCTAGGACACAAGCCTATGAAAGACAGGCTAACTCTCATGTTTTGTAGTAATGCAAGTGGGGATTGCAAAATGAAGCCTTTACTCGTGTATCACTCTGAAACTCCCAGAGTGTTCAAGAAAAACAATGTTGTCAAGACTAAATTGTGTGTGATGTGAAGAGCAAACAGTAAGGTATGGGTCACTAGGGACATTTTCCTGGACTGGTTCTATGACGTGTTTGCCCCCACTGTGAAAAAGTGCCTGCTGGAAAATAAATTGTCACTCAAGTGCCTCCTGGTAATGGACAATGCTCCTGCTCATCCTCATGACTTGCAAGAGCAAATTGCAGGGGAGTTGAGCTTTATCAAAGTGAAATTTTTGCCTCCTAATACCACTCCTCTCCTCCAGCCCATGGACCAGCAGGTCATTTCAAACTTAAAAAATTGTACCCCAAAGCAGTGTTTCAAAAGTGTTTTGAAGTGACCTCAGACACTGAATTGACCCTACGAGAGTTCTGGAAAGATCACTTCAGTATCTTCAGTTGAATAAACCTTATAGGTAAGACTTGGGAGGGTGTAACTTGCAGGACTTTGAACTCTGCTTGGAGAAGATTGTGGCCACAATGTGTACAAGAGAGGGATTTTGAAGGGTTTGGGGCTAACTCTCAGGAGGCTATGCCAGTTGTGGAATCTATTGTGGCACTAGGGAAGTCCATGGGGTTGGAGGTTAGTGGTGAGGATGTGGAAGCGTTGGTGGAGGATGATGATGAAGAGCTAACCACTACAGAGCTGCAAGAGCTTCAGGTGCAACAACAACAGATCACAGCTCAGGAATGTGCTTCAGAGGAGGAGGAAGAGAGATGGAGGAAGTTGCCTTCGTCAAAGATTAAGGAAACGTGTATAATGTGGACAAAGTTGCAAGCATTTATGGATGAATAATATCCTGACACAGCTGTTGCATGCCGTATTGGCAACATGTACAATGACAGTCTTGTGTCCCATTTTAGGGAATTCTTAAAGGAACACGAGAAACAGAGCTCTCTGAACAAATATTTTGTGCGATAGGGGTCCAGTGGCTCTCAAGTTGTTCCCAGTGGCATTAAAAAACCAAGAAGGGAGGTAACTCCAGAAAAGTACTGTTACCTGAAGGGGATTCCCCTTCCAAACACTAGTACACCTTCATCCTCTCTCCTCCTCCCATCTCATCACTCATCAACAAGTCCACAATAAAGGTAAGTGTCATTTCAGTATCGTTTATTTTGCATGTATCATTGTTTTCTGTGTAGGAAAATGTATATTTCATGTAAAAAAATTTATTTTGTTTAATACTTTTGGGTGTCTGGAACGGATTACGTAATTGGATTTCTATTATTTCTTATGGGGAAAATTAATTCCGCTGAAGACTAAATCGGCTGAAGGCTAGCTCTCTGGAACGGATTAAAGGCATTACCCGAGGGTCCACTGTACTATGTAGCCCTGGAGAATGAGATCATCCACTTCATAATAGTATGTACAAGTACAGTGGACCCTCGGGTTTCGTGAGCTTTGCCCTTCGTAAACTTTGACTTTCAACAACTTTTTTCATCAGAATATAGCCTCGTGGTTCGTAATTTGCCTCGCCATTCGTTGCTCATTCAGAACGTATATGAGCTGCCTCCCAGTGTCTGTGCCACACAAAGGCGCCCCACACACCATTCCCAGTCAGTGTGGCATTGTTTATTAGTGAGTGACCATCACCCCACGCGTTCATACGTTCATGCGTTCATTTCATAATATACCGTTCTTTTTTGTGCTTGCGACTTCTAAGTAAGCCACCATGGGTCCAAAGAAAGCTTCTAGTGCCAGCCCTTTGGTAAAGAGTATGAGAAGCACAATAGATTTCAAGTAAGAAATCATTGCAAAATATGAAAGTGGTGTGTGTGTGGTCCATCTTGCCAGGATGTATGAGAAGTCTCCATGCAACCATCGCTTCCATTGTGGTGAAGAAAAAGTAAATCAAGGAAGCTGTTGTTGTGAAGGGGGTAGATATGCTTACAAAAATGAGATCACAAGTACTCGAAGATGTTGAGAATTTGTTGATGGTGTGGATCAACCAAAAACAGTTAGGAGGAGATAGTGTTATGCAGTCGATAATTTGTGAAAAGGTAAGGCAGTTGCATGCCGATCTCGTAAAGAAAATGCCTGGAAAGAGTGCTGATGTTAGCGAATTTAAGGTCAGCAAAGGGTGGTTTGAGAGATTTAAGAAGCGTAGTGGCATACACAATGCGGTAAGGCATGGCAAGGCTGCACATTCTGTCAAATGTACGGCTGAAGGATTTGTCCCCCAACAAGTGTTCAGTTGTGATGAATCAGGCCTCTTTTGGAAGACAATGCTAAAGAGGACCTACATCACGCAGGAGGAAACAGCACTCCCAGGACACAAACCTTTGAAAGACAGGCTAACTCTCATGTTCTGTGGTAATGTTAATGGGGATTTCAAAGTGAAGCCTTTACTGGTGTATCACTCAGAAAATCCCAGAGTGTTCAAGAAACACAGTGCCGCCAAGAGTAAATTGTGTGTAATGTTGAAGGCTAACAGTAAGGCAAGGGTCACAAGGGAAATTTTCCTTGATTGGTTCAATGAAGTGTTTGGCCTGAGTGTGAAGGAATACCTCCTGGATAATAAATTGCCACTCAAGTGCCTCCTGGTAATGGACAGTGCTCCTGCTCATCCTCCAGACTTGGATGACCAAATGGTGGAGGAGTTTAGTTTCATCACAGTGAAGTTCTTGCCCCCTAATACTACTACTCTCACATCCAGCCCATGGACCAGCAGGTCATTTCTAACTTCAAAAAACTCTACCCAAAAGCATTGTTTCAAAGGTGCTTTGAAGTGACCTTGGACACTGACTTAACTCTAAGAGAAGTGTGGAGAAATCACTTCAGTATCCTCCATTGCATAAGCCTTATAGAAAAGACTTGGCAGGAAGTGACTTTCAGGACTTCGAACTCTGCTTGGAGTTCAAAGTCTAGAACAGCAACAGACCACAGCTCAGGAAATTGCTTAAGAGGAGGAGGAAGAGAGATGGAAGAAGATGCCTTCTTCAAAGCTTAAGGACATTTTTGCAAAGTGGAGTGAGGTGCAAACGTTTATGGAGGAACATCACCCTGATGAAGTTGTTGCAAGCCGTTTCTGCAACATGTACAATGACAATGTCTTGTCCCATTTGAGGCAAATTTTAAAGAGATGCCAGAAACATAGCTTTCTGGAACAATTTTTTGGGCGACAGGGGTCCAGTGACTCAAGCTTGTCCTAGTGGTATTATAAAACAAAGAAGGGAAGTAACCCCAGATAAGGACTTGGTACCTAAAGTCTTTATGGAAGGGGATTTCCCTTCCAAACAATAGTGTAACTTCTCCATCCTCTCCCCTCCTCCTGTCTTCCATACACCAACAAGAGTCTTCAATAAAGGTAAGTGTGATGTTATTATTGTTTTATACTTGATGGTTCATTATTTTCTGTATGTGAATCTATATTTAATGTAAAAAAAAAAATTTTTTTTGTTAATACCTTTGGGTGTTTGGAACAGATTAACTGGGTTTACATTATTTCTTGTGGGGAAAATGATTTTGCCACTCGTAAATTTCAACTTTCATCACACTCTCTGGAACAGATTAATTATGAAATTTGAGGGTCCACTGTACTCTGTATCCCTGGAGAATGAGATCATCCACTGCATAATAGTATTATGTATCTCTGGTAAATGAGATCATCCACTACATATAGCACTATGTATCCCTGGAGAATGAGATCATCCACCACTGCTGTAAATAGTTTTACAGTAGTTAATCTACCAACGTATATTTTTCCCTTGTTCGTTAGTGTTTTTTTTTTTTTTTTGTACAGTTTCCTTGACTCGGACAAAGAAGAAAGGCTTGGAATTTAAGCAGAACTTGGTGGAAGAGATACGCAAGTGCATTGACTTGTATGCTCGCATATTTGTCTTCTCTGCACAGCATGTTAAAACTGACAAGTTGAAGGATATGCGGATAGAATGGGGACACAGCAGGTCAGTTGTTATCAGGAAAGGTATTTTTATACTTTCATAATATTCTTATAACATTTATATTTTTAATTTTAAGACAGATTCACCAGTAGAAATAAATATGTATTGCTACAAGTATTGTCACATTAACATCGGTGTCTGATTTCTGTTATTAACCCTTAAACGGTCCAAACATATACATATATACAATTTTTCAACATCTGAAAGTATGTAAAAAAATGTAGTATTTTTTTTTTTTTTTTTTTTTTTTTTTTTTTTTTTTTTTTTTTTTTTTTTTTTTTTTTTTTTTTTTTTTTTTTTTGCATGTGAAAATGTGTAAAAAAAAACTTTTATCTAAATTTTTTTTTGTTATATTTGAAAATATGTAAAAAAAAGGTAGATCTACTTTTGTAGCAGTACGAATTTGAACGTCGATCTGTTTGGACCGTTTAAGGGTTAATATCTTTTTGTGGGATTAAGATTCTCCATTATAATAATAACAACAATAACAATAATAATAATAATAATAATAATAATATCTTTATTTCTACAAGTACTTGTACAAGGTGTACAGTCCTAGCTGACATCAGTGACATGCTACTATATAGAAAGCCGCTTATTATGCAAAGCATTATGGGCAAATTAGGTCAGTTTTATTCCAGGATGATACCCACACTAGTCGACTAACACCCAAGTACCCATTTTATACTGATGGATGAACATAGACAACTGGTGTAAGGAAACATGCCCAGTGTTTCAACCCCCACCAGGAATTGAACCTGGACCCTTACCATGTGAAGTGAGAGCTTTTACCACCAGGCCAAAATTTCAGTACTAATATACTATTTTCTTTTTGGTAAGTAAGACACAAAGGCAACAGTTAGGCAACTTTATTCCGAAACGTTTCGCCTACACAGTAGGCTTCTTCAGTCGAATACAGAAAGTAGGCAGGAACAGTAGAGATGTGAAGACGATTACATCTCTACTGTTCCTGCCTACTTTCTGTATTCGACTGAAGAAGCCTACTGTGTAGGCGAAACGTTTCGGAATAAAGTTGCCTAACTGTTGCCTTTGTGTCTTACCTACCAACCTGTCGGTATTTTATACCATTTTGATGTTCATCTTGTCAGACACTGCAACACATGGCCTCTTGGTACAGAAAATACCTTGCACAACCCTTTCAAGTGAGAACTGTTGGATCTGAGAGGGACCTGACCTCTCAGTGGCTACATTCTCACTACTACTTCTACTCTGCACCTCTCCTTCCGACAGTATTTAAGTCTCCGCACTGCCGCTTGATCTTCAGATAGTTCCTGACTATGGAACTGAACTCTCCAGGCTGAGGGACTGACAACCTCAAATTCTACGACTTCAAGGGTGATGGACTGATTACATCGTCTTCACATCTCTACTGTTCCTGCCTACTTTCTGTATTCGACTGAAGAAGCCTACTGTGTAGGCGAAACGTTTCGGAATAAAGTTGCCTAACTGTTGCCTTTGTGTCTTACCTACCAACCTGTCGGTATTTTATACCATTTTGATGTTCATATTTTCTTTTTATTGTCACTTATTTATTGTCTTTCCTATGTCATTAAACTGTGGGTTGTACATATGTTTTTTAACATTAATGATTGTTTTGCTTTAGTTTGAGATTTCCTTTGAAAAAATGGGAGTAAGCCACAAATACGAAGGCATAAGAAATAACATGAACTAATACAGTGAACACAGTTTGATCCCCGGTGTTCTGGTACCTCGCTCAGATTTAAATGTTAATTGTTATTTAATTATATGAATCTTGTTAATTTCAGGTTTTTCCTTGGCAAGAATAAAGTGATGGCACTGGCCTTAGGTCGAACCCCAGAGGAAGAAATTTCTGACAATCTCTCCAAAGTTTCTCAGAAGCTAGTTGGCCAGTGTGGTCTTCTGTTTACAAATTCTACTAAAGAGGAAGTACTAGAGTAAGTCTTTCAAGTAGTAGTGTGAAAGAGGAAGTACTAGAGTAAGTCTTTCAAGTAGTAGTGTGAAAGAGGAAGTACTAGAGTAAGTCTTTCAAGTAGTAGTGTGAAAGAGGAAGTACTAGAGTAAGTCTTTCAAGTAGTAGTGTGAAAGAGGAAGTACTAGAGTAAGTCTTTCAAGTAGTAGTGTGAAAGAGGAAGTAGTGCACTAGAGTAAGTATTTTAACCCTTTGACTGTTTACGCCGTATAAATACGTCTTACGCGCCACTGTTTCAGTGCATAATGAGAACAAAAAAACTGATCGTTTTTTTGGATTAAAGTGCCGACTTTGAGGTGTATTTTCGTATAGTATTTATTGTTGTATTCGCGTTTTCATGGTCTTAGGTGATAAAATGGAAAACATATTACAGAAATAGAGATGATTTTCATTACTCTGACGATGAAAACGACCTTGAAACTGAGCTCAAAGTAGTGGAAATGTTCAATTTTTACCAATGTTCAGGAGTAAACAAATCACACCACACGTCCAATACACGTCAACTGGGGAGTCTGATATTCTTTCACTAGTGCACTGATATTATTTATATCATTTTTACAATAATGCAGTAGTCTGCATAACGGTAAATTTTATATTTTTTTGTATGAATAAAAAATCAAAATAGAAAGCAATAATAATATAAGAGGGGCCTAGAGATGTGACTAATGAACAGAGGATATGTTATTTTAGTGCCAAGAATGTCTACCTTGTTTGTTCTGGACCCTATTTTGAAATTGGCATCTTTTTTATTTTGCGTGAAATTGGCCAAATTGCCAATTTCTGACCACTATATTGGGTAGTTCAAATTGGTAAATGGGCGGTTTCTTGTACTCAGCTGATAGATAAAATGGAGTTCTAAAGAAATAGTTATGAGTTTGGTCAACTGGAACAACGTAATTGGCTGAAAACAGGGCTCAAAGTCAGCAAAATCGCCGATACACATATGTCGCCGAGACCGCTAACTTCGCGGGAGCGTAATTCTGTGAGATTTCGACCAAATTTCAAACATTTGGTGTCATTACCATCGGGAAAAGATTCTCTATCATTTCTATCTCTATCATCTAATATTCGCAATTGTTAAAATAATCAAGGTGCTATTCTCAGGTGCTAAAGTTAATAAGTTCACTATTTTGCCATTATATTCCAAAGCTCATTTATTTGATTACCACTTTATTGTTCACCACAACTTATATTAGTCCCTTTTATATTATAATTTTATATTATAATTCTAACTTTAAAGAATTACCTTTAAAGCACTACCTACAATCATATTACCAAGCTCCATTATTTGATCATCACTTTATTTGTTCACCACAAATTATTTTAGTCCCTTTTATATTGTCTCCTTTATTTTAGCTTTAAAAAACTACCTTAGCTCATTATTTTTTACATTTGTTAAATAATTCAGGTGCTATTTTTTTAGCTTTAGAATATTTACTTTGTTTTATACTTAATTCTAACTATAGATTCACTACAAATCTTATGATTACAAGCATTGATCCTGATACCAACCTCTTATTTAATGACTTAAATGATTCAAACAGTTACTGTAATTACTACACAGCAGAACAATCAAAGGCACTTCTCAGAGCCAACAACAACATAACTATCTTTAACTACAATATCAGATCTTTAAGCAAGCATTACGATGACCTCCTAGCTTTACTAAATTCCTTGCATGCCAATATGTCCATCATTACACTAACTGAAACCTGGCTAAAGCCTGATACTACAGATGTCTATGCCATTCCTGGTTACACAGCCATACACAACTGTAGGCCAGACCAACAAGGGGGTGGCACAGCTATATACTACTCAGACAAACTAGAATGTATCACTAATACTTGCACAAGGGATGAACATGGGGAATATATAATAGCTAAATTCAAATCCAAATACCTACAAAAACCTCTCACAGTGATAAACATCTACAGAGTTCCACAATCAAACATTAGCCAATTTAGTCAAAACCTAGGAAGTATGATAACTGATGCACGCATGAACAAAGATCACTTACTACTCTCAGGTGACTTCAGTATAAATCTCCTGCAAGACCAGGACCCACACGTTACTGAATTCACAAACACAATGAGTAACTGCATGTTGCTACCAACAGTAACAAAACCTACAAGAGTTACGGAGACTAGTGTTTCCCTACTTGACCACATCTGGACCAACACCATATCCCCTTTAAAATCAGGCATAATTACAGATAATACCACAGACCACTACCCTACTTTCCTCATAACAACTCTTGGTAAAATACCCCAAGACACTACTAAAGTCACCTTCAGACTTCACAATGAGGCAGCCATTAATAACTTCACAACAGCAGTAACAAACATTGACTGGCACACTGAGCTAGAAATCTATACAGATATTGACGAATGTTTTAATAATTTTCTAAAAAAGACCCAATACCTCTATAACAAGCACTGCCCTAAAAAAACTAAACAGATGACAGCTAAGAGACTGAACAGTCCCTGGCTAACACCCAGCATTCTCAAATCCATAAATACAAAACACCGATATGAAAAACAGTACAGAATGGGTCACATAACCAGAGACCAAACAAAACGTTACTCGTCAATCCTAACCAGCCTGATAAGAAGGGCAAAAAAAATTGTATTATGAGAACAGATTATCCAACTTACGAGGTGATATAAAAAGACCTGGAAGACCCTATCAGAAATTCTGGGAACAAAAAAGATATCACGAAATAGCGAAATAAAATTAGCAAAATCAGATGAACCCCAACTCCCACCAACAGAAACAACAAACAGACTCAATGATTTCTTCTCCACTATAGGACAAAACCTTGCCAATAAAATCCCAAGCTCAGATACCCCACCAAATGACTACCTCACTGGCAACTACCCGAACACACTGTTCCTAGCTCCGACTAACCCATACGAAGTCTCCCTTATTATCAACGCACTAAAAAACAAGGCAGGAGATTTAAATACCTTACCACCCTTTATATACAAAAAAGTGTCACAAGTACTATCACCAATCATTGCAATACTCTTTAACAAATCCATTGAATCCTCCACCTTCCCTACAGTTCTCAAAATAGCAAGGGTCACCCCGATCCATAAAGGAGGAGACCAAACAGAGTTGAATAACTATAGGCCAATATCCAATTTACACCCTCTCTCAAAAATCTTCGAAAAATTAATTCATAAACGAATCTACTCCTACCTCATCTCCCAAAACATTCTCAACCCCTGCCAATTTGGATTCAGGCCTAATAAAAAATACTAATGATGCTATTATACACATGCTAGAACATATATACACTGCAATAGAGAAAAAGAAGTCCCACTGGGGATCTTCATTGACTTACGTAAAGCTTTTGATACAGTTGACCATGACTTGCTCCACGTAAAATTGTCACACTATGGTATTAGAGGGCACTCCCTCATCTACCTCAAGTCATACCTCAGCAACAGAAGCCAATATGTGTACGCAAATGGGGCAAGCTCTTCCGCACAACCAATTACAGTTGGTGTCCCACAGGGAAGTGTCCTTGGCCCTCTTCTCTTTCTCCTATACATAAATGACCTACCAAATGCTTCGCAATTACTCAAACCCACACTTTTTGCAGATGACACTACATACGTCTTCTCTCACCCGAGCCCAGTCACGCTAGCCAATACTGTAAACACCGAATTACAGAAAATATCTACCTGGATGAGGACTAACAAACTTACACTAAACATTGACAAAACCTACTCATTCAGTTTGGTAACCGAGCTACAGATGTACCTCTTAACATAACGATAAACAGATCACCTATCACAAAGCTAACAGAGGGAAAATTCTTAGGAATCCACCTTGATAATAGACTCAAATTTCATACACATATACAACAAATTTCTAAGAAAATTTCCAAGACTGTAGGCATACTATTGAAGATACGGTACTATGTTCCACAGTCAGCCCTCCTGGCCCTTTATCACTCTCTTATTTACCCCTATCTCACCTATGGAATTTGTGCATGGGGCTCAACAACAATTAACCATCTCAGACCACTAATTACCCAACAAAAGGCTGCAGTTAGAAAGATAACAAATTCTCACTACAGGCAGCACACTCCACCAATATTCAAAACACTCAACCTACTCACCATACAAAACATCCATACTTATTATTGCACCTATTACATACATAGAACACTTAACTCTGATATTAACCCTCCCCTCAAACATCTCCTTGCCAATCTCAACAGAACACATGACCATAACACAAGGCACAGATCACTCTTTGATGTTCCTCGTGTCCATCTCACGCTATGCAAAAACTCAATGCACATAAAAGGCCCTAAAATCTGGAATTCATTACCTGTAAATATAAAAGAAACACTACCTGTTTATAAATTCAAGTCTCTTCTCAAAGATCACTTACTCACTCAAAACCAAATAAATTCTGAATAACTGAACCTTATAAATTGTATATCCTAAATGTTACTCACAATTATATCACACAAATGTTAAACCTAGGACCCAATCTAACTTTGTTATTTTTTAAATACACTACCTAACAGAATACTCCATTCGACTGAATGTACAGCAATGCATGTAACCATATGACCTGTCTTTGTAATACTCATTTGTGCTTTATAGTTATCTGTTTACAATAATGTTTTATCACTGATTTCATCATTGCTTAGTTAATCTTAAGTTAATTTTAAGCCAGCCCGTAATGCTATGCATATAAGTGTGTTTGGCATGCTGCTCTTACCTGTATTTTTTTTGTACCTCTGTATGTATGCTAAAATTACTAAATAAATAAATAAATAAATAAATTTGTGCTTTGTGACTGCTACAGTGGTCTTGTATTGGATATTATTGTGTACACTGGAAGTTATACATTGCAAAATACAGTGGACTCCCGGCATACAATGGCATTGACATACGTTAAATCCGGCATACGATACATTTTAACGCAAAAATTTTGCCTTGCCACACGTTAAAAAACTCGCCACACGCGATTCATCCGGAATGCATCCCACGTGTATCCTCAGCTGCCCCATGTGTGCCAGTGTTTACAAGCCATCCAGTGCGGTTGCATGCTCACATACGATTGGTACATTTCATATTATCACAGCATTTTTAGTGATTGTACCTGCAAAATAAGTCACCGTGGGCCCCAAGAAAGCTTCTAGTGCCAACCTTGCGGTAAAAAAGGTGAAAATTACTATGGAAATGAAGAAAGAGATAATTGCTAAGTACGAAAGTGGAGTGCGTGTCTCGGAGCTGGCCAGGTTGTATACCAAACCCCAATCAACCATCGCTACTATTGTGGCCAACAAAACGGCAATCAACGAAGCTGTTCTTGCAAAAGGTGCAAGTTTGTTTTCGAAACAGAGACCGCAAGTACTCGAAGATGTTGAGAGACTGTTATTGGTGTGGATAAACGAAAAACAGATAGCAGGAGATACCATCTCTTAAGCGATCATATGTAAAAAGGGTGGGAAATACATACTATCGTATCATGGCCAGCTGTTGCTGCACCACCGTCAGCTGTTGCTGCACCACAGTCAGCTGCTGCTGCACCACTGTCTGCTGTTGCTGCACCACAGTCAGCTGTTGCTGCACCACAGTCAGCTGTTGCTGCACCAGTCAGCTGTTACTGAACCACAGTGAGCTGCTGTTGCACCACGGTGAGCTGCTGCTGCTGCTGCACCACAGTCAGCTGCTGCTACACCACCATTATCTGTTGCTGCACTATGGTCAGCTGTTGCTGCACCAGTCAACTGTTGCTGAACCACGGTCAGCTGCTGTTGCACCACAGTCAGCTGCTCCTGCACCACAGTCAGCTGCTGCTACACCACCGTCATCTGTTGCTGCACCAAGGTCAGCTGTTGCTGCACTAGTCAGCTGTTGCTGAACCACGGTGAGCTGCTGTTGCACCACGGTCAGCTGCTGCTGCACCACAGTCAGCTGCTGCTACACCACCATCATCTGTTGCTGCACCAGTCATCTGTTGCTGCACCAAAGTTGGCTGTTGCTGCACCATGGTCAGCTGTTGCTGCACCATGGTCAAGTGTTGTTGCACCACAGTCAGCTGGTCCTAGTGAAGTAACCCCAGAAAAGGACATGCTACCTAAAGTCCTAATGGAAGGGGATTCCCCTTCTAAACATTAACCCTTTCAGGGTCCGTCCCGTAGATCTACGGCTTTATGTTCAGGGTCCAAACCGTAGATCTACGCCATGAGCTCAGCTCACTCTGATAAACTGTGAGTGGTACATTTGGGCCTAGATATGAGAGAATACATCTATGTGGTATGTGTGCACCACATAAAACAGATCCTGCAGCACACTGTGTATAATGAGAGAAAAAAAATGAAATCATGATTTTTCGATTAAAACAGCAACTTTGCAGTGTTTTTTCGTATGTTTTTTATAGTTGTATTTGCGATTTCTTGGTCTCATTTGATAGAATGGAAGACATATTACAGAAATAGAGATGATTTTGATTGGTTTTAGCATTGGAAATGGCTTGAAACTGAGCTCAAAGTAGCGGAAATGTTAAATTTTTGCCGATATTCAAGAGTAAACAAACGACCTCACAAGTCTAATACACGTCAGCTGGTGGGTCTAATATACATTCACAAATATGGTGATGATATTTATACAATTATTACAGTATTGCATAACAGTAAATCTTCTATTTTTTGGTGTGAATAAAAATTCATTATGTGAATAAAAAATAATGGAATTTATTTGTAAAGCCTCAAAACATAACTAATGAACAGAGGAAATGTTAGTTTAGTGCCAGGAATGCCTACATTGTTCATTCTGGACCCTATTTTGAAATTGGAATATTTTGAACTTTGTGTTAAATTGGCCAAATTAACAATTTCCGATCACTTTATTTTGTAGTTGAAACAGTTGACTTGGCGATTTCTTGTGCTCAATCGATAGAATAGAAGTAATACTAGTGAAATAGCTAAGAATTTGGTTGATTGGAATAATGTAATTGGCCTAAAATGGGAGTCAAAGTCGGCAAAATCGCCGATCCGTAAATATCGCTGACACATCAAAATTCGCGAGAGCATAATTTCGTCAATTTTCCACCAAATTTCGTACTTTTTGTTTTATTACCTTCACAAAAAGATTCTCTACGATTTCATAAGAAAAAATAACAAATTTTTTTTTTGAAAATTCTTGGACACTGGTGCGTGACTCCAGATTTGGGCCTTGGACCCTGAAAGGGTTAACAACTTCCACACTCTCCCCTCCTCCCATCCCATCAATCATCACCAGATCTTCAATAAAGGTAAGTGTCAGTTTGTGTTTATTAAAATTAATATTTCATATGGTAAATTTTTCTTTTTTCATACTTTGTGGTGTCTTGCACGAATTAATTTGATTTCCATTATTTCTTATGGGGAAAATTAATTCGCCTTACGATAATTTCGGCATACGATGAGCTCTTAGGAACGGATTAATATCGTATGCCGGGGGTCCACTGTGCTAGGAAGTTATTGGGCATCTCTGGTGCTGCGGTTAGAACAATGATGGAACCATATCTTGGTAAGGGACATATATACTGATAACTGGTACACAAACCCCCTCACTCAGTGATTTTTTGCAAGTGAACATGACAGATGTGTGTGGCACAGTGCGTGGAAATCGTAAGCATATGCCCAGGTTTGATGCTGGCACTCGTAGAGGTGAGGTGCAGGCGTTTGCCAATGACATCATGGCATTTCGGTGGCATGACAAACGAGATGTCACACTGTTGTCATCAGTTCACCCTAACGAAATGACGAAGACTGGCAGGCAGAATAGAGAGACCAATGAACCCATTCTAAAACCTGCAGCTGTGTTGGACTACACCCTCAGTATGTGCTCAGTGGACAAATGTGACATGCAGATTGGGTTTGCTGATTATGTTCGGAAGAATTATAAGTGGTACATAAAACTCTTTTTCCATATTCTGGACATTTCCATGCTCAATGCTTATAATATGTATAAGATGAGGACCAGAAACAAACCCCTATATGACGAATTTTGTTTATCTGTCATCAGACAAATAATATTCAAGTACCAAAGAACAACACCTGCAATAGAAAACTGCCCACCAAATTATCAACAACTACCTTCTTGTCTGAGACATGGTGATCACTTCCTAATAAAACTGCTTGCTACTGCTTTCAATAAAAAGGCTCAGAAGAGGTTTTATGTCTGTGCACATACAAAAAATCGCCCACAACAACACAGAGACACTCATTTTATGTGTGAGGAGTGTAAAAGACCATGTTGCATGACACCATGTTTCAAAGACTTCCACAGGCTGCAGAACTTCTAGAAACATGTCCTGTGACTGAATATGTGTATATAAAATATAAAACAACATTTTATATTGTTCGTTTGTGTAAACAAGTTTTGTAAACAATATAATGACAGCAGTTATTGTGTAGTATAGAAACAGTAAAAATTTACAAAATAGTGCTCAGATTGGTCTCACAGGCCATAAAAGTTACTTGAAAAGAAAAAATATTAAAAAATAATAGAAAAAAGTAGAAAAAACAAAATAAACGATTACCGGGTGACCGGCAGTCGGCGATGTTGCCGTAGGCAGTTCACTTTCTGTCAACTTCACGCCTCCATATCTCGGTAAGTATTGATGGCAAAATTTTTTTTTAGCATATGAAGCTTAAAAAAAAAAAACTTTTCATAAGAAAAATAATTTTTTTTTTTTTCGAATATTTTTCGACCCTGAGAACAAGTCTGGGAGAGGGCCTGTCGACCCTGAAAGGGTTAATAATGTCAAGACATACAACAGTGTGTGAACATGCAGTGAGGTTTCCTCTTTATTTTATTATCATGATGAATTAGAGCATCTGTTAAATTTAAATTTTATTTCCTCAGCTACTTTGAGAGCAAAAAGTACCCTGTACATCCACATGCTGGCGATGTAGCGACAGAGACAGTGACGTTAAAAGAGGGACTACTGGAACAGTTCTCCCATTCTCTGGAGCCACACCTCAGGAAGTTGGGGCTTCCCACAAGGCTGCAGCATGGAATCCCTGAGCTTCTACAGGATTACACGGTCTGTGTCAAAGAAAAAATACTGACTCCTGCACAAGCTAGTATTCTGGTAAGGACTACAGAAATATGCCCTTTTGTAATGTTATTTTGTGAAGAAGAATAGGTAACAACACTTTGACTGGAATAATTTACAACTAGCTTGTAGCTTGGTGATGAAAGTTTTGACAACTTTTCAATCAGTTCTGGACCTTCAATAATTGTGCAAAATAGACAGAAATGTAAAGTTTTCCCTCCAGATTGTGAGTAGGTATGGATATTTTCCATACAAAATTGCAAACATTCATGTGAAAGAAAAGTTTGTTTCCTGCTTACCCAGTAATGTGAAAATAAAATTTCTCATGCATTTTGAATACTCTTCATGTCATAAAACCATCTGAACCATTGTTCTTCTCTCCTTTCTCACCATCACACTTTTAATGCAGATTCGTTCAATGATTCCTTAATATAATTTGCTACATCAGTTGTAAGCCTCTTCCCTCCTTTTTTTTGCCATTGTTCTTCCTTTATCACTTGCTTCTACCTCTCTACTCTTTTTACCTCTGCTGTGTAATGCTGAATGATCCACACTGGCTGAGTGGCTTACATGAATATAAAATATATACACCTACCATCCGACTTACGACCTGCTCGACTTATGACCACTCGACTTACGACCGTGTTTTTTATGCCAAATTTCTGGGAAATAAACAACTATTTGCGTTGTACACAGTGTTTATCCTAAACCTTACAGTATAAAATACAGTACTAACAACATAAAAAGTAAAGTAAAACATGAAATACCAAAATAAAACAATAAAATAAAGTCATTACAAAAATGTTTTGTTGATATTCAGTAGTAAAGTTCGACTTACGACCATTTCGACTTACGACCGGTTTCTCGGAACCGAACTCGGTCGTAAGTTGGATGGTAGGTGTATGTATTTTTTTTAACAAACTGGCCTTGTCTCACCGAGGCAGGGTGACCTAAAATGAAAAAGGAATGTTTTTTCTTTTTAAATTTAGTAATTTGTATAGGAAAAGGGGTTACTAGCCCCCTTGCTCCTGGCATTTTGTCTTACAGAGGTAGAATTTTGCTCCGCTTCCCCTTGAAGATAAATACAGCCTCTCCTCACTTAGCAACAGGCTCTCTGACCAGTATGCATGCCTAAATAATGTATACTAGAGCAGATTTTCTGTATTCTGTTTATTACAATATACAGTACACTACTGTATAAACATTTAAAAATCTACGAGAAATGTTATAAATGGTGCAAAAGTGACATTAAAACAATATCAAAGATGGTTGACACAAACCCACTACCATTATACAGTGGACCCTCACCTAACGCTATTAATCCGTTCCTGAAAGCTCAACGTTAGGCGAAATTATCGTTAGGCCAATTAATTTTCCCCATAAGAAATAATGGAAATCAAATTAATCCGTTCCTGACACCCCAAAGTATGAACAAAAAAGAATTTTTACCACATGAAATATTAATTTTAATACACACAAACTGAAGAAGACATGCACAGTTACATGACACTTACCTTTATTGAAGATCTGGTGATGATTGATGGGATGGGAGGAGGGGAGAGTGTTGATAGTGTTAATGTTTGGAAGGGGAATCCCCTTCCATTAGGACTTGAGGTGGCAAGTCCTTTTCCGGGATTACTTCCCTTCTTCTTTTAATGCCACTAGGACCAGCTTCAGAGCCACTGGACCTCTGCCGCACAACATATCTGTCCATAGAGGCCTGTACCTCCCGTTCCTTTATGACATTCCTAAAGTGTTTCACAACATTGTCAGTGTACAGGTTGCCAACACGGCTTGCAATAGCTGTGTGAGGGTGATTTTCATCAAAAAAGGTTTGCACTTTAAGCCACATTGCACACATTTCCTTAATCTTTGAAGTAGGCAACTTCCTCAATTTCTCTATCCCCTCCTCCGAAGCAGTTTCCTCAGGTGTGGCCTCTTGCTGCTGAAGATGATCTAGCAGCTCATCAGTGGTTAGTTCTTCATTGTCCTCCTCCACCAACTCTTCCACATCCTCCCCACTAACCTCCAACCCCAAGGACTTCCCCAATGGATTCCTCAACTGGCATAGGATTCCCAGGGCTAGCCTCAAACCCTTCAAAATCCCTTTTGTGTACACATTCTGGCCACAGTTTCTTCCAAGCAGAGTTCAAGGTCCTCTTAGTCACTTCCTCCCAAGCCTTACCTATAATGTTTACACAATTGAGGATGCTAAAGTGATCTCTCCAAAACTCTCTTAGAGTCATTTGAGTTTCTGAGGTCACTACAAAGCACCTTTCAAACATAGCTTTTGTGTACAGTTTCTTGAAGTTGGAAATGACCTGCTGGTCCATGGGCTGCAGGAGAGGAGTGGTATTAGGAGGCAAAAACTTGACCTTAACCCTTTGACTGTCGTGGTCGTATATATACGTCATGGGAGATACCGTGTTTGACGTATCTATATGCATAAATTCTAGCGGCTTCAAATCAAGCGGGAGAGGGCTGGTAGGCCTACACGAGAGAGAATGGGTCTCAGTGGTCGATGTGCACCCTGTGAAAAAAATCTGGGACTCAGCGGTGCATTGTGGGAACGCCATCTTGGTAGTCCATTTTCATCATGCCTCGCGGTAAGAAGTTCCTTACTCCTCGGCGGATTGGAGGTCTTTTGTTCCCAAGTGATAGCTCAAACAGTGATGATAGTGTCAGTGAAAGTGAATTCCCTGGTTTTGAAGCGGGTGTGACCGAGAAAATTACCCAGGATAACATAATTAGTGATGAAAACCCAGATGACCCACAACCTTCCACCTCTGGTGCTGGGCCGGCTCGTTCATGTTCACCTGTACCAGGACGAAAGAGGAAACTATTTGCCCATGTACAAGACTCAGATGTGAGCAGTGCAAGTGATAGTGATAGTGATTTCAAGGTTATTGAAAGCAGTTCTAGTTGCGAAAGTGAGGGTGAATATTCCCCAGTGAAGCGGCAGTATATACGACGTCGCATGCGGTCTGGTAGTGTGTCATATGCTCTTCCAAGAGGAAGGAGTACATCTCGGAGCACATCCCGTGGCCCTACACCACGTCCTGATAGTGAAGATGACGATATTGTTACGATGGGTATAAATGATGTGAGTGAGGCAGCAGGCGGTGGTGGTGATAGTGATGGTGGCATGAGTCATGTGACACCAGCAGCGGGCCACGCTACTACCAGCGCTGCTGACTCTGCACAACTACAACCAGCCTCACCCGACCCACACTCCCACAACCACAACCTGCACAACCACAACCACATTACAATATCCAGAACGCACCAGCTGACCGCATCTGGGATTGGCAGCAAGATGACGAGTTTGTTCCCAATCCCCATGACTTTGATGGAGGACAAAGTGGAATACGGCCATCATGTACACTTGGGAACAATCCCACTGAACTGGAATGCTTTCAGTTGTTCTTCGATGAACCCCTGATGGACATTATTGTCAGGGAAAGCAATACATACTATGAGTACACCATGGCAGACACTATTCTGTCACCAAGATCACGCCTACACCAGTGGAAGGACACAACTGTGGCAGAGATGTATCTGTTCTTTGCCACAATAATGCTTATGCCACATTTCGTGTCAACACATACTGGGCGACAGACCACCTGATTTCAACCCCTGCTTTTAGTGACATTATACCAGTGAATAGATTTGTGTTACTGTTACGTATGTTACACTTTTCAGACAAAACCAGGCCTGACAGAAGCGACAGGTTATATAAGATCAGACGTGTGTTTATGTACCTGAAACAAAAGTGCTGTATGTATTTTTATCCCTTCAGGAAGCTTGTTATTGACGAGTCTTTGATTTTGTTCAAAGGAAGACTCTCATTCAAGCAGTATATACCAAGCAAGAGGAAATGCTTTGGTATAAAGTTATTTGTTCTGTGTGATTGCAAAACTGGTCTGGTTTTGGATACACTTGTGTACACTGGCAGTAAAACAATGGAAGATACCAGGAAGTTACTGGGTATCTCTGGTGATGTGGTTAGAACAATGATGGAACCATATCTTGGTAAGGGGCATATTTTATATACTGACAACTGGTACACAAGCCCTATACTCAGTGATTCTTGCGAGTGAACATGAACAGATGTGTGTGGCACAGTGCGTAGAAATCGTAAACATATGCCTAGGTTCGATGCTGGCATCGTAGAGGTGAAGTGCAGGTGTTTGCTGCCAATGACATCATGGCATTTCGGTGGCATGACAAACGTGATGTCACACTGCTGACATCAGTTCACCGACACGAAATGGTAGACACTGGCAAGCAGAATAGAGAGACCAATGAACCCATTGTAAAACCTGCAGCTGTGATGGATTACAACCTCAATAGGGCGCTTAGTGGACAAATGTGACATGCAGATTGGGTTTGCTGACTGTGTTCGCAAGAGTTATAAGTGGTACATAAAACTGTTTTTTTCCATCTTTCTTGACATTTCCATGCTGAATGCTTATAATATTTTATAAGTTGAAGACCAAGAAGAAACCCAAATATGGTGAATTTTGTTTGTCAGTCATCAGACAAATAATATTCAAGTACCAAGAAACAACACCTGCAATAGACCAGCGCCCACGAAATTATCAACACATGTCCTCTCGTCTGAGGCCTGGTGATCACTACCCCATACCACTGCCTGCTACTACTGCCAAGAAAAAGGCTCAGAAGAGGTGTTTCGTTTGTGGACATACCACAAAACGCCCACAAAAACGCAGAGACACTTGTTTTATGTGTGAGGAGTGTAAGACACCATTGTGCTTATACCCATGTTTCAAAGAATTCCACAAGCTGCAGCACTTCTAGAAGAGTGTCCAGTGATTGTACATATGTATATATATTATAAAACAATCGTAATAAACCCCTCACGGAAGGTTCCTTGATGCTGGTGAGGGGCTCTTGATCTAGGGAACTGGATCTGTGCTCCAGTTCCCTGAGTTAAACCTGAATACCTTCCATCCCTCCCCCAAGCACTGTATAATCCTATGGGTTTAGTGCTTCCCCCTTGATTATAATAATAA